GCTCCAGGCGGATGTTCACGGAGGCAGCGTTGGGAGCGTGTCCCGTTACCTGGAGGGGGTGTAGGCGTCCATGGAGGTCTGCACGACCAGGGACCTGCGTTTGGAAGGCATAGGCACCGGCCATCTTCTGCTCTTTGTGTCTGGCCAGAGCCGCCTGGACAGCTTCCGTGTGGACGTCTGAAACGGAGACAGCTCACTCAGTGCTCAGCTGAGGTCCCAGAGGCCAAGCTGCACCCTCCTCTCTGTCCCCGCAGCACGGTTCATCCACCTTCTGAAACTCACCAACAAATGCGTGGGTGAGGAAAGAAAATCAGTGTTTACAGTTCCAGTAAAGACATTACAATTTATTCACAGACTTTTTTCATTTTAATACTTTAGAATCCATGTCCGCAAGCAAACACTGGGTGTAAACTGCACTGAGATTTTTCTTTTTAGGGTGAATGAACCTTGATCTTTGGAGATTCTTTGTAGGTCACACGTTTGAGCCTCCAAATCCTTTCACTGTACCGCTGAGAGGCGTGTGCTCGCCTCGCACCCCAACTCACACAGCCACGGTCGCAGCTCAGCTCAACACCAGCCATGGGCCAGGACTGTGTTGGCTATGGATATGACTTGGCTGTGTCCCCACCCAAATCTCAACTTGAATTCTACATCCCAGAATCCCCATGTGTTGTGGGAGGGACTTAGGGAGAGGTAACTGAATCATTGGGTCCCGTCTTTCCTGTGCTATTCTCGTGATAGTGAATAAGTCTCATGAGATCTGATGGCTTATCGGGGTTTCCGCTTTTGCTTCTACCTCGTCTTCTCTTGCTGACATGTAAGAAGTGCCTTTCGCCTCCCACCATGATTCTGAGGCCTCCCCAGCCATGCGGAACTGCAAGGCCAACTAAATCTTTTTCTTCCCAGTTTCGGGTATGTCTATCAGCGCATGGAAATGGACTAAAACAACCAGTAAGACATTTTGTGGCAATTAACCCATTACATTAATTCCACACATTCACTGAATGCCTTTTCTGTAAGTCCCTATGGGCTGGGGTCGCAGTGGTGATAAGGCAGACAGTCTCATGGCATCTCACGCAGGCCACTTCTTAAGGGAGGAGACAGGTGATAGATGGGGTAGGGAATTAAAGCAGAGACAGATGCAGCAGCAACTCCAAACTGTAAAGCCAGGGAAGAACCCTCTTAACACAGAATCAGAACAACAGGAATGAAGCATACCGGCTGTCAAGATGAGAATCTTCGAGACACAAGCAAAAATCCGCTCAAAGGCCCTAAACTGTCAGTGAGAACGGTGTTAGCAGAATAAAACCACCACCACCAAAAATGGCCAGCGTGAGTGAAGACGGGTTGGGGCAGTTTTCTCTGAAGCTGTGAGAATGATCCCACTGAAAGGGTATCGGACGTGGCTTTCTGGCTTAAACCCCCCAAGCTGCCACCTGAGACAGGACCCAGACCCTCAGCATCACGCCCACAAGCAGCTCATCACACTGCTTGGTCTTGGTCAGCCTTTGTGCACTCTTCTCTCCCTAACTAGATAAAGAGCCTGGTCTTCTGGCCACTATTTCTAATTCCCAGGTCAAAAACCACTATGTGACTGACTTGGCTCATGGCCGAAAACTGAAGGGATCAATGAGGTGACAGTCCACTCACTTGCACAAATCGCTTTTTGTTTTGCATATTCTCCGTTTTAAACTTTTTGGATGTCATTTCAAAGACACAGAAAATCTGCAAGACCAGCGTAGTGAATTCCCACTTAACTTACCAGGCTCAACTTAGGCCCAACTGCTCCTATCTTACATCACTGCTTTCCCCCCTCCCCCATGAATTTTCTAAGTCAAATGAAAATAAATTTCAGATACTATATCCTTCCATACCTAAATGTTTCAATGTATTGCCTAAACACAAGGATATGCTCTCACATTCATTTTCCTCAAGATCGGGAAATTTAACTGTCATATACGAAGTTCACTTTCAAATGCTGTCAACTGTCTCCATAATTTTTTTACTTTGTCTTCCTCTTTTACGATCCAATCCAGGATCATGAATTGATTTGTCATGTGATTTTTTACCAGTCCAGCATCCAAGTTTCTCAGGTTTTGTGTTTCTTAAAATTGGAAATGTGAAAGAATACAGGTCAGTTATTTTACAGCTTGTCCTTTATTTTGGTATCTTCCGGACTAGACTCAAGAGTATGCATTTTAGCCGGGACACCGCAGAACTCTGTCCTGTGTGACAATGTTAACATCGGCAACTCAGTGAAGGTGGTGCTTAAGTGCCTCCAAAGCAAAGCTGCTACTTCTCGCGTTGAAATTAAGATTTGGGAGGAGACACCCTGACACTATGTGCATATTCTGTTGTCCATGAATTCTTCACTACTAGTTTTAGCATCCACTGATTTCCTGTCATTCCTTCTAAATCATTAGATCTTTCATATTCACTGAAAAATAATTATCTTTCAGCATTCATTTACATATGTCCATATGTACTCACGGAGTCTGGCTTGGTGGGTTATGATTCATAGTTACAATGGTTTGTTCTGTTGCTCAACTGGTCCCACATTTGACACCAGATTCCCCAGCCCTTAGGCCACGGCTCCTTCTAGTGAAGAACGGTGTTTGGAAGCTAAGAGTGGGCACCGGGTGCTGCTGGGCATTGCCGGCAAGTAGAACACACACACGCATGTACACGTATGTGCACCCACACCCATCCACAGGCACTTCTATCCCTGTCTACATCTGTCGGGAGCCACCAGCTTATACTTGTACCTCGTGCTGCAACCTAATCCCACGTGATCCATTCCAGGCTTTGGCCTTTTCTTATTTCTACCTCTTACCAAGAAAGAAACCTGGCACCTGTAGCACTCAATATATTCACTGATTTTTTAAGCTTATTTGCTTAAGCCTGGAGATAAAGAAATGCTTTCAGAATTGCTATCTAATACCACTGTGAAAAATCTATCGACTTCAGTGCTCATTTGTAATTATTTTTTTCATTGTTTTTTTGGAAGGTAGGGAGTACAAAGTATACACAGTGAAATGTTCATATCTTAAGTACACTTGGTGTATTTTGACAAATGGAAATTTATTACCCAATCAAATCTTTTTCCTCAAAGTTCCCACAAGTCCCCCCCCAGTCAATCCCAGCCCTCAAGAGACAGCCACTGTTCATTCTCGAGGAGTGTTCTTGGCGCTCTTCCGTCACCCGAGACTCGCATAGATTCTCCATCGTCACATGGACTCCACGGCGTGGTGTTCACTCTCTGCTCAGTTCAAGGCTCCTGGAACTCATCCCCGTTGTCTGTTTTGGTTTCAGTATTTTGTACGTTTTTCCTGCTGGGAACTAGGACAATGTATGAACATATCAGAATTTGCTCATGTTTCTCCAGATGAGAGAGATTTATGTTGTTTCCAGTTCTTGGCTATGACAATTTACTCTGGAGATAATGTGCATTCTTTTACAAGGACACACATTTTCAGCTCTCCTTGGTGAACGTCTACAGCATACCTGCTGGGCCATATGGTAAGTGTACACATTTTAAAGAAACTGCCACAGTTTGCTGAAGTGGCTGTGCCATTTTAAGTCTCCATCAGTCTGAGATCCAGTCTGTCATATCTTCACCAACACCTGCTACTGTCCTCCCTTCTCCACTCTTGTGAAGGGGAACCTCGTGGGTTTAAGTTGTACTTACCCAACGACTTCCTGGTGAGCACCTCTCATGGGCCACTGGGCATCTGTATACATCTGTTGCGAAGAGTCCATCTTGCATGCTTGCAAAATTCACACCATTTCTGGTTGTTAGTACATTTCCTAAAATGTTCTAAATCAGGCCCTGTGTCTTCTGTACATCAAGCATCTCCCTGCTTCCAAGTCTTTATGCCTCTTAGTTCTCCTGACTCACTTCACAGACGAGGGCCCCAGTGCGCACCATGCGAACCTGAAGCACGGAGAATGGCCATGCTCCCGACACCCCTGACTGTGGGCAGAGCTCCCCGGCTGGCACCACCGAGGAGGGGGGTCAGCTCTTGTTTCTCAGGAGTGGCCTTTATCAAACGGAGAAAGTTCCCTTCTGTTCCTGATGTGGTAGGAAATTCGTATAAGGACTATTAAATTTCAACAGATGTTTTCCAGTGTCTACCGAGAGGATAAAATGGGTTTTCTGCTTTATTGTTTGTTAATGTGGTGAATTACATTGATTTTTGAATGATGAGCCAAATGTGCAATGCAAAACTACACATCATGAGAACAAACTCTAAGTGTTCATGGTATTCTTATCCCTTTTACATATTTCTGGGTTTGATTTAGTAAGAATTTGTACAAAGCTTTGGCATCTGTATGTCAACAAGAGTGAAAGGCGTGAGATTTTGCCTCGCATGCAAACTAACAAAGGGAGCCAACACCAGCCCAATGCACTGACGGAGCCGGCACATTTCCGGGCCAGAAACAAAGGGCTTGTCACACACAATGGGGCAGCAGGACCCACTCACCCCTGTCGATATTCAGGATCACACAGTGGGGCAGCAGGACCCACTCACCCCCGTCAATACTCAGCAACGTCCTATATCCCTGTACAAAGACAAGATGTTATTTAGGCAAAACAAAATTAACGATCATGTAAAGAACTGCTTACATTTTTCTCTTCTAAGAAAATTTGTTTTTAGCAACCATGGCTCTCAAGGCACTCATTTGCACATTATACATAATACTGCTTGTGGCCAAAGTCATGGTACCTTCCTATTCTTAAATAATTTACCAAGAGTTCTGAAAGGTGAGTATTTTAAAGAGAAAAGAGGTATGTGGCTTACCCCAGGCTAAGGAGTGAGTTAGTTGGACAATTCTTGTGAAATATGTGCTTTTTCTAACTAGAAAATCTGAGAACAAGGTATCAGTGTGAGTCTGTTATCTCCATGAAGGAGTGAAATGGATGCTGGGAAATTGAAGGAGCTTCAGAACGGAAATCTCACATCCTCAAATGGGGAGACCGGCAATTGGTAAAGCAGTCACTCTGATTCATGGAGTTTTCGGAGATTCACGTCCACTCCGTGCTGCATTTGAGCGACTTTTCTTCTTGTGATGTGGACCCGATAGAAGAGCGGTCCCACGTAGACATTCGGCATTTGTGAGGGTCTGGCACCGTGACTCACTTCTACAGATTTAACATGTTTATGTATAAATTACAATGGCTCAACTCTATAAAAACTGATAGCAGTTATGGATCAATTCCCTCATTTCTCACTTGGGCCACACTTCCTGTTTCTGCAAGAACATATCGCTTGGCTACAAGACACGATGTTGACATTGAAAGGAAAAAGGACCTTGTATAAAAATGATGCAGAGAATTCTTCTCAAAGGCCACTGGGACACACACTTTGTTGGTGACTAGCTGTCTACCAGCGCGGCAGCGAGAGAGACAGAGCTCCACTCGTGAGCAGTCACAGCTCCCGTGACCCACACCAAGACCCCCAGGGTGATGACAGGCCAACCAGCAGCCTTGGAACGGACACTTCCTTCCTGAAATAGCTTCCCGAAACACAACAAACAGTGATAATTGCAGGCATTTCTATAACTGAGAAGCAAGAAACCCTCCCAAGTCCTGTTCTTTCTACACCACATCCAGAACAGGCGTACACCCGGTGTAGAAAGCTCCCAAGGCCTGAACAGATCATTTGAATCTACTTCAGACTGACCTAATCTCTGCAGTGCAGTCCTACAAACAGACTTTCAAAAAGTTACCAAACCACTACCTCAAACCTCATGCTTTCTCTGCTTGGAAAGAGGACATGCGGCTCGGTTTATACGGCCACCAGAACACACACAGGGTATTATCTTATTGCCCTTCAGTGCCAAGAAGAATCCTGTGGTCTCTCACGGTAAAAACAAAACCACATCCACCACAACCCAGCTTTTCACGTTGCAGGGGGTTTTACAGCCTCTTTCTATGTCGTCTTCCTTTTTGCCCCAAACTGGATCTTCTTTTTACTTTCTCCTTATTTCCTGAATGTAATTTGATCAATATAATCAAAGTGCTTGTGTTAGAAGCAACTTTACTTAGAAAGAATGGAAAGAACTACATCAAAATATTAAGAGTAGCCATTTCAGGATGACAAGAGAACAATATATTGTTTTTGCTCATTGTTTTCAACATTTGCAAAGTTTTTTGCCTTGAGTGCAGTCACTTTTGCAATCAGAGGTTACAGTGCTTGATGGAATGAGGCCATGAAGCACACACACCACCCAGTTTCTAACACAGAGCAATCTATGAGGAAGGATAGAGACACAGGAAAGGTTCATTTTAAAGCAATGCAGGTGTTTTTTCCATAAAGGCAAAAGACATTCTTAAAAATGTTTGCACCATACACAAGTCTGCTAAATTTAGTCAAAAAACAGAGAAAACAGTAACAGAAGAACACTTTAGCCCACAAGGAGACCAGCACACCCAGCACGAGGCCACTCCAGATGAGGAGTAGAGAGTGGTTTCCTCACAGCTGACCCACAGGATTGGGTAACACAAGCAGGAGGGAAACATGGGGACCACAGAGACGTCAGACTGTGGACTTCATAGCAAGAGACAGCAACACAAACTAGCGGAGTAATTAACAACTATTGTAAAAAGAGGTCCACATTCTATTTTAACCTGAAATCAGTGGCACGGGGACCACCACACCACCCTGCAGTTGCCTCCTCCCTCCCCCACACACAGCAGCCTCCTGGGACAACATCCTACTTCCAATTTGCAGTTGCCTCCCGTCCCACCCCTCCACAGTGGCCCTCTACAACATCATCCTACTTCCACCCTGCAGCTGCCTCCCATCCCCAACACACAGCATCCTCCTGGGACAACCTCCTACTTGCTGCCCACAGCCTGGAGCCCCCAAAGCATGGAGGGGCTTAGCGAGCCACACAGCATTCCCCCTTCACACCTGGGAAGTCAGCCCCTCACTGAAGTGAGTCCTGCACCCGCTGGCTGTGCACGATCAGAGGTGTGAGGTTTTGGACCTGGTCACCCACTGTGCAGAGAGGCGTCAGGTCATGGACCTGGTCACCCGTTGTGCACGATCAGAGGTATGCAAGGTTCCAGACCTGGTCACCGGCTATGCACAATCAGAGGTGTGAGGTGATGGACCCGGTCACCCGCTGTGTACGAATAGAGGTGTGTGTGGTTAGTGACCTGGTCACCAGCTCTGCACAATCAGAGCCACGCGAGGTTACAGACCTAGTCACCAGCTGCACCCAATCAGAAGCTTTTGAGATTAGGGACCTGTTCACCTGCTGTGCACAGAAGTGTGAGGTTATGAACCTGGTCACCCCGCTGTGCATGATCAGAGGTGTGTAAGGTTAGGAACCTGGTTACCTGCTGTGTCCAATCAGAGCCAGGCAAGGTTACAGACCTAGTCACCAGCTGCGCCCAATCAGAAACTTTTGAGGTTACGGACCTGGTCACCCACTGTGTGGGATCAGAGGTGTGCCAGGTTAGGGACCATGTGCGTAGTGATGGACCTGATCAGCAGCCAAGACACCTGACGTTTCCAGTGTCATCCCGGCTTCTTTCAAAACTGGAAAAGTCTTCAGATATTTCCCAAAAGCTCGTCCATCTTTGAAAACGATATGCGTGTGCACAGGTGATACCGATGACTGAAGATTGAAGGTTAGAGCATTCCAGCCCCATGCCCATGTCCCATCCCATCGGTGAAAACTTGAGCACAAACATCTCCCTCTCTGAAGCTCCCTGAAGCTGGCGGCAGGCCTGGGACTCAAGGTCCAGTGTCCTGTCAGTTACACTGAACAAAATGTAATTCAACACTGGCCATGGGCCCTATGCTTTAACAAACCACATATAAACCTCCCAAAGAACTACAATCTATGAAAGCTTTCATGGCTAGTATTTTAGGACGACTGACCAATCTTGACCTAAATCAAAGCCGACACTGCCCAAATTAACTCTCATCCCAGCTTCGTGCAAAGGTAGCCATCCCCTGGCCGACGGTGTGACCAGCAGCCTGGGCACAGACAGGACCAGCGCCAGTCCCTCCCTGCACCTTAAACGGGCTTCTGAGCTGCTGTCCATGATCCGTGATGGTGACGCCCAGAGCAGCTTTCCAGGAAAGCAGTAAACCTTTCAGGTCCTCACCTCACGAGGATGGCCATGTATAAATCAACCGCCTTTGTTACTGCCCTGCCATTCCCAAAGAGGGGATGGGTTAAACTTCTTCCTCCTCCACATGCCCAACACAAGGCACACCTGCCCCAGCACGAGGCTCATCTACTTAATCCCGAGAAACTCACACAACCCACAATCAGAGGCCGTTCACAATCAGAGGTCGCACACAATCAGAGACCACATACAATAAGAGGCTGCACAGAGACCACACACAATCAGAGACCACACACAGAGACCCACACAATCAGAGGCCACAAAGAGGCCAGAGGCCACAATCAGAGACTATACACAGTCAGAGGCTGTGCACAAGCAGACGCCACGCACAATCTCTGCAACCTCAACAGAAACTGTTTCTGATCATTCACCTGAGGCCACCAAGTTTAAATGAGACGCCCAGGTTTTAAAAGACACAAGGAGTTCTCTGAAGGCAGACTCCGTGCATTCCACCATCAGCACCATTTGTGCCTGTCACAGTCAGGAAGAACCACAACCACATCTCGGTGCCCTTGCAGTGCAGGGCGCTGCGTTTCTCCCTCTTTCCAAACCCGCGGCGGCTCCTGGCGACCCAGCGCCTCTGCTCAGCCAGGTGCCCCCAAGACCTTCCTCCCTCACCTCACAGGGGAGCTTCTGCAGCCGGGCTATCTGGCTCATCACTCTGATTCAGTCACTTACACCCTCATTCCAGGCTGAAAATCTCTCCTGAAAATATCCAAATCTTACCCACGTCAGGCTCCATCTTTTCCCCAGAGCTCCTCACCCCCTCCAGAGCAGCAGCTCTGGTGCCCGGGCAGCCGGGGCCTGGGGGCGGATCCGTGGGCTCAGAGCACCCAGCCCCTCAGCCCCTCTGTGTATCCCCTTACTCCCTGCTCCCTGGCGTTAATGCCCTCCATCATCTATTTCCTGATAGGCAAAAGAGGGTTAATTCTAAGAGTGCTAACCGAATTGGATCACTTAACACCACGATCGGCCCAGAATACCCCTTGATCAATGACAGGTATTGCTGCGCTGTTACCATTGCGCTGGGTCCAGGTTTCCTGTGAGCCCTTTAGGCTCTTTGCCATAAAAGCCATCAATAGTCCTGTCCAAGCCTGTCTGTGGCAGATGGACAGGTGAGTGGCCGACGCACACGTGTGATGCTGAATGGGATCGTGCAAAGCTGGCCCCGCGTATTTTGGTCAACCTAATAAAAAAGGCGCCCATGCTTGCTTGCTGCCGCCCTGCGGTGTCCAGAAGGAGCCGCTTAAAGGCAACTGCGCCGCACCTACCTTCTTGGAAGGAGACGGCAAGACCTGATTGGCTGGAGCTGGGAAGTTGTGCGCTACAGATCAGGGCTGCATGACCCAGGGAAGGCATCACTCGAAATACCTGCTGGAAGGCGGCCAATCCGACCCGACCGTCCACCTCCAGGGTCAGCCACGGGGCTCCTCTTGATGTGTCATCCTAATCACCCCTCACAGAGCAAATGAGCCTTTGACTTCAGCCTGTCCTAGGTACAACACCGACTCCCACCTCCCACGTCCTGAACCAGCCTGTTCCGGGGATTGCTGTGGACATAGAGGAGCAGGCCCGAGACATCTAGTGGCATTTCCTGGCAAGGACACTCACCATGCTTGACCATAAAACTCGGGTCAACTGGTTTTTCGGAGGGACTGTGATTTACTTGTGGCACGCATGGATACTGATTGACCCAGGGAGGGGCACGGAGGAGGCTGAAGGAAAACCCATCGTGACTGCGCCAGGCATTCCTGCACACACCGACATCTTCAGACTCGGGCGGCGTCCTAGTCTTACAATCAAACGGAAGCCCAGAGAAACTAGGGAGCTTGTCCAAGACCAGCAACAAGTATGTGGACAGCTGGCATTCAACTAAGTCCTTCCCTGGATCCATCCGCGCTTCTCCCCGCTCCCACTCCCACCACCCTGCCATAGCCCCCGATAGACACAGCAGGTCTGAACATCTGGCACCCCAAAAGTAGAGTAGGGAGCAGAGCTGGCTTCTCCAGTGGGAACTCACATGCAGCCCACTCCCTTTCTTGCCGAATGCCTTCGGACTCTGTGCGGTAAGGTCTGCAGATGTGGCCTCACTCTGCGCCAGGAGATCCAGGTGGCAGGCAGCGTTTTGGACAGTGCGCCACCAGACAGGAGAGAGGCATCTGACAGGGCTCGCCAGCTAATCCATGAGACACAGGACACCTGAGAGAAGGGCCGAAAAACCCCACAAAGTCGCTCCTAGCCTGAAGAGGACAGGGCCACGGCGGGCTCCTCCCAGCCCACGCTTCCGACAGGTCTTGCTGCAGCCTGTGGTGCTCGTCAGGCGCGAGGAAGTTTCCCAGGGCAGGAGCTCTCGTTGCACAGCAAAAGCGGCACAGGCGATGCAGCAAGGCGTACTTCAGCCCAGGGCTCAGGAACCACGGGGTGCAGCGCGGCCTGCAGCAAACCAGACACATCAGAAGCCAAACTCCCACCTTTTACATTCAGTGACATTGAACGGAGGGAGTTATCTGTAGCAATGGTCCTCCTGGGGGACCCGTACAGCACACATGACCACCGACACTGACCACGAGTCCTTCCTAGGTCCTAGGGGCTACTCCAATTTACACGTGCGGTTCCATGCACAAATCTATGCAGGGCAGTTGTTAGCCCCAGCTTAGAAATGAGGAAAACGCTGCTGGAAAAGTCAAGTGAGAAAATCAGACTTAAGCACACCTGAAGTCTCCAAGACCACTACTACTCTATGTGCTAGGGTCTCAAGGGTTGGGTGTGTGGCATTTTAAGTGACTAATCATAGGTGGTTTTCTTCTCTCCTACACCTCTTTAGAACGTGCACGTACATGCTCTGCTGCAGGTGCACTGCCGTATGTGGACCAGCGACGCTCTTTCCTGCCTCGGGTTCTCGTCACTGCCTTCCGGAAAATCTCACCTACTTTACAGCCATGCCAGGTAGCCCTGGTCAGCCGCACAGTCAAATTCCTGCAGTGTCAGAGCTAAGTGCTGGCTGAGACTTTAACACCGAAGACAGCGGAATAATGGGGATAAACTGAGCAAAACTGTATTGTAACGCAGATGAAGGTCTAGAAGCAAAAGAAGCTGACACCCCTAAGAGAGCAGGCGATTGCCTCTCACTATGATGTTAATAGCAGCTTGCTGTTTCCAGTGCCTCCCTGTGCCAGGGTTTCCAGTCAGCGTTTGTGTTTAACTGCTCCTGGGCTACCTGATTAAATCTCTGCGGAGATCAGGGATATCTAAATTGACCCAGTATCTGCAGGCTGGCTGCTCAGAGGCCGTGGTGTGGAACGGCCAGGACATCGCTTAGTCATACGGGGCACAAGCACGTCACTTGCCACTCCTGTCTTTCTATTTCATCAAACCCTCTTTTCTCCTGAATATTGACCATAGCAAAGTCATTAGCCTTCGAGATGCATTTGAAACATCAACTTCCTTTGTTCAAGAGGTTTAAGACACACGTAAGTCTTTCTTGCCATACTCAACACACATGGCCAGCCGTTTCTGAAGTCAGTGTTTCTGGAACAAAAGCCTTGGCCTGCCCCAGTGAATATTCACAATGAGCACACTGTCGCGAAGCTGCTTGGCCAGCCAGCAGGGGGCAGGAGGGGGCAGGAGGGGGCAGGAGAGAGCCTCAGGGGCCCCGTGGGGTCCCTGCAAACCCGCCTCACTCCCTCAATCTAGGGCGGTGCCTCCTGCCAAACCAGCGGCTTCCTCCAAGGGGAAGAGGCCTCTTCAGCTGCCCCCGCACTGATTTCAGGCGGCTTAGCCAATGGGGCAACAGATTCAACAGAGTCCCATGTTGTTAAAGGAAAACTTGTGTTACCAGGCAACCTTAGGGTCAGATTCAACGAAATATAACCAACAACATTGCTTCCAAAACAACATGCTACTAGTGCCTTATCCTTCATTGCTGCTTAAACACGGAAAGTATGAGGAAAAAAGAGCATGGCACTTACTTCTTAAAAAATAACCCCTCTTCCAGGTTCATTTTACCCATATCAGCAAGACTTAGAACTGTGGATTCCCTACAGGAACGTGGAGTGGGGGTGGATCCCCACGCTGACCCAGCCTC